CTAAAGCAAGAAAAATGCAGACTTTTATATTCAAATAGATAATAAACTTCAACTTCAAAATACAAGCTCAAATATGAAATACCTGCAAACTTTAACTTGTTAATGATTTATATATTTTATTGTTATTAATATATTTACATATAAAATAAATAAAAACTCAAAATTTTAAATAAATAAAAATTTAAATTATACACAATTATTCAAGGATAAAGATAAATATAACCTTATTTTTTAATATACAAATTAATTCCCAATAAATCTACATGGAACTACTAAGTTAGGAGTTAACAAAAAACAAAGAGGAGAGTTTTTTGGATTTGATAGAAAACTAAGAGAGAGAAAGGGAGAGAGAAAGTGAGAAAGCAGAGAGAAAACGAGAAAACTAAGAGCAAAAGCAAGGAAGCAGTTGACAGAAGACTTAAAAAATGGTAAGTTGTATAAGCCAGGAAAACATGAAGATGGGAGAGAATACAAAAGCGCCAATGTTTAAAGAAATTAGATGAACAAAAGTTTTTTAAACATGAAGGAAGTTACTGCAAAATGATACAACTTTGCTGAATGATGAGTCATGCAAGATTGAGTTTTGATTGATATAGCAAGTTACAATAGCTCACTTGAGCAGCAACCATAATAGTAGAAAAGAGAAAGATATGCAACCTTATAACAATGGGACAAAAGTTAAAGCCTAACAGCAAGAGCAGACCCAACAACATTTACAATGCAATTTTTAGAGCTTGCTTAGAAAAGAGATATGACCTCATTAGAAGAAATAGCTAAAATAAAACAATGGTATTTCATACAGGGAAAAATAAGGGATTTGTAAAGGTAAAAAAAAGTCAGAAAGGTCATAAGGTATAGGACTCAGTAAAAGTATTGTCATTTATCAAAATAGGAGTAGGGTAAATCCATATCAAATGATGCAGAAATTTTAAAAATGTCAACCTATATCTCAGATTTTACTGATTTTTGTACAGTTGAGAGTGTTTAGTAAAGTAAGAATTCCTTTAAAAAGCTTTTCCTCCAGCTCAAAGAAGATCTTGAAATATGACCATTTTACTTTTAACAGATGTTAGCCAGGCCCAAGATTTCTCCTAAGACAACTTTAAAAATATTTAATCTTTTTACCTAAAAATTTGTACATGGCTATTCTTAGGGGTGGTCAATCCAATGAAATGATCAGAAATGTAAAAAATTATTTTAGAGTTCCTGTATTTATCAATTTGAATAAATGTAGCAACTTTTTTATATACCTGATTTTGATGCTCAAGAAACTCATGTGGCCTTGATGATATCAAAAAATATATACACTACCGTTCATAATTATTCGAATGGCATTAAAAAATACTATTTATTATTTAACTATATTTTATGTTTATTTTTGCACAATTTAAAATAATTTAAAAGTATTTTGCTTAAAATGCTTTGATAAAAATCATAAGAATAATAAAAATGCTGAAGTGGGCAAAACTACATAAAAAATGGACCATCAATGACAGTAAACACAGACCGCCCTGTCGAAGTTTTAAATCTTTGGTTTCAAGATAAAGTTGTTTGTCTGGAAATAAAAATTGTTGAATTTATGATAAAATAGTGTGTTTTATTGACTGTAAAACATGGTGAATGTTAAGGTTTGGGACTATTTTGCAATAGGTGACTTTATGAAAATAAAGGGAGTAATGACAAAAGTAGTTAACTAGTACACCTAAAAAATTATGCTACACCTTCGGAAAGATGGGTTAATGAGAAGCTATTCATTTTTTCAGAAAGAAATGACTTGAAGCTCAAATCTACAATGTATTTTTCAAAAAATTGCTTAAGTTATTTTGGCTGATTTTGAGAATGATCAAATGTTAAACAAAATGATTTAGCCTCCCCAAACACAAGATCTCTCCCCTATCAGATTTTCATGGGAGGAATTTAAAGTAATGTCAAAAAGTAATGGCTAATGATGCATAAGATGAGGAAAAACGTATAAGTTAGTGGCATAAATTTGACTTTGACTAATTGGATAAGTTGTTAAGTAGAATGCCTAAAATATGTATAGCGGTTATGTTGCTAAGGGTGATTAAAAGGCAAGTAAATTATAAACTAATCTAATCGGACTTTATATTAATATTTTGTAAATATAATAAAAAGGAAGATACATATAATTCAGGTAGACTTTGCTTACAGTTTCTCTCCTAATAGCAAGTAAAACTATGATATCTTATGTCCAAAAGTACAACCATTCGAATAATTATGAACGGTAGTGTATATTACAAATCATTCTATATTCATTGATCTCTCAAAAAATATATGGATTTCCATATATGGATAACGGGGCACTTTTTTAAATTGGAATATTGCTATTGATTTTTCACAACCTTCTAGACTAGTTGGAGCTCTGAAACTTTCACCATTTTTGTAGTGCCGACAGATGTGCAAGTTGTTTTCAGGGCCCAAGACACCAGGAGGTAGGGAAAGAGGGCTGGGTCATGGTCCCCACTTTTTTCTAGTGAAGTCTTGTGTAGTCTAGATAAATCTTGTGTAATCCTGATGTTAAAATTGTTTCCAACGCAGATGACCAGAGGGCTGGGGCACTGGAGGCCATGCCTCACTTTTCTAAAAAAAATGTTTTTTTGCATTCTTAATAAAGTAAATATAACTTAAACTTATTAATAACTTACTTTTTAATAAACTTAAACTTATTATTATTAAATAAACTAAAAACATTGTTTTAAAAAAATATTTCGTTTTATATTTGTTCCATTTGGTTTTTGATCATTCTGTATTCAATGATCTTTCTTAAAATGTTTTTAGAAAGTTTTTAAAAATTATGTCTCAGGGTCGTTTTTGCAAATTCTCTTACAAATTTAATTGAATGACCTCTTGGACTTTGGGAAGAAGGTTTATGAAGCTCCTTATACCACAATATCTTATCTATCCAGATTCTTATTTTAAAAAATTTAATAAGATCATCTCTTATACATCTTGTGTGTTGTTAGACACAACTTTGTCAATCTTTCAGTATAACTTAGTTCAGGTGCTAATTTTGTTGCATGCCTTTGAACTTTTTCCAGGTCATTAATATTTTTTTTATTACTTGGACACCATATTGGAGCTGCAAATTCTAGGTGTGGTCTAACCAGCGATGTGTATAACTGCTTTTCCATTTCAGTGTTAGGATAAGTAAAACTTTTTCTGATTAAGCATATGATTCTTTGTGCTTTACATGTATCTACTTAAATCTGATGATTCCATTTCATATTAGATGAAACTATTACACCTAAGTCTAGTCCTTTTTTTGTTGTTTTTAGAAAACTTTGTTTGCCTTGTTTCATTGTGTAGTAATAGGTGTAGATAATATTTTTTCTTCTGATGTACCTAACACTGCATTTATTTATGTTAAATTCCATTAACCATACATTTGACCATTCAGTTAACAAATCAATATCATTTTGAATGTTATTTAGATTGTTATCTTCTTCTATAACAAATATGATTTTAGTATCATATGCATATAGTTTTGCAATTGAAGAGATACATTCAGGAAGATCGTTGATATATAACAGAAAGAGAAGAGGACCTAATATTGAACCCTGTGGTACACCACTACAAATCTCCTGCCAATCTGGAACAAATTTACCCAATAAAAAATAAAAATAAAAGGCAATGCTTTAAATTGGATTGAGACTTTTTTTTTAAAAAAAAGTCTTAATCCAATTTAAAACATTGCCTTTTATCCCACAGTTTGAAATATATAAGTTGATGGTGGGGCACCTTATTGAATGCCTTTGCAAAACCTAAGAACAATATATCTATTAAATAACCATTTTCAATTTCAGTTGTAATGATATCGAAAATTTGTAATAAGTTTGTTAGGCATCCTTTATTTTATACAAATCCATGTTGTTGAATTGTTAATATATTGTTTTCTATTAAGGGCATAACTGCCCTCATAACATTTGGATTAATGTTATATGAAAATAAAAACAAAATGTGTTTTTTTAACAGTTTATTACAATAAACACATCATTAAGCTTTAAATTGATGCTTTAAATTGAAGAAAAAAATTAAACGGTTTTGCCCCCATTTTAAGGCACAACTGCACCCTAAAGAAAATCATTGAGGATATACCTTTCTTGATACATTTTCTTTAAAATTGTTACAGCTCAGATTATTTACTGATTTTGTTGCACATTGCTTACAGTGCAGACATTCTTTGTACTTACAGTCTGAGTTTTCTCATTCAATATACTCTTAGCTTTTGTTAACATTTTAAACAAAATTTATCTAGTATTCTTTGTTTGTTTAATAACATTTTCTACTCAATATAAGAAAATATCAATTTTGTATTTTAGATGTTAAAGCCAAAAGTAAAGGTGAAATTATATAATTATGTAAATGTGTGAAATTTTCAATAAGAAAAAAATTTCTTTGTGTTTTATTTACAGGGTTATTCCATATCAAATCACCTAGTTTTTTGAAAGTTCCCTAGGATACCATCTCAGACTTGCTTTTAACTTTGACAGCACACAGATCTTATGAAAAAAGTACAATCCAGAAAATTTCAGCTTGATTGACCAATATGTTTAAAAGTTATGATTGATTTAAAAATGACAAAAATCCGAAAAAATTTGTGTATCAGGAGCTTACAGCAGTTTTTTTCGATTTTTGACAAACCCTAAATTTTTAAATAAAGATGGTGATCACCTGAAATTTTGTAGAGTAATAATAGTTTTTCACCCAAATAATCCATTGTTGCAGTTGTTTATGACTGATTTTTTTTACCGTTTTTGAGTTATTGTACCTTAAAGTTGCTAAATATTGCAACATTATAAATATTTTTTCGAACTTTAACGTGTTACAGTTTAATACTTACTTACAGAAAGTAGATTTTTTTGTTACCTTTGTGTACTTAGGGTCACTACTTGTTATAATAATCAAAATTATGCATTAAAAATTAATTTAGCACATGCAGCAGCCTATTGAAAAATCACTTTTTTTTTAAATTATGATAA